CCCCGCGGAGACCAGCGTGAGCGGGCAGGACGTGGGGCCGGAGGATCTGGAAAGTGCCAGCTGGGCCACGGCAGTGGCCTTGGCCTGGTTGGAGCATCGCTGTGCTGGCTTCTTCGAGGAGTGGGAGCTGGTGGCAGCCAAGGCGGACGCGTGGCTGCAGGCGCAGCGGCTGCCCGAGGGGGTGGACGTGGGCTGCCTCAAAGGGGCAGCCAGGCACTTGTTCCTGCTGCTGCGTCACTGGGACGAGAACATCAAGCTGAACATGCTGTGCTACAACCCCAACAACGTCTGACAGCCGCCGGAGGGGCCAATAAAGACGCCTGGCTCCACGCTGCCTGCGCACGAGTTTCTGTCACGAGCAGGGAGCGTCAGCCCTGTTCAGGCCCTGCTGGGGCTCACCAGAGCCCTGGGAGGGGCGGTCACCACCTTCCACACCATGTCCCGTGGGAGGGAGCAGACAGGAGACTAGGAAAAGCCACGCTGGAGGGATCCCTGGGCTGCATCAAGGCAATTTGAACCTTGAGGCAAAGTGGTTTTGCAGATCCTCTGTCTTAACTTCACCCCAGAGGCTGCTCCCCTGCCCCAAGCAGCACTCTCCCAGGGTTGGGAAGGCAGCTCCCATGGCCCTGGTGGCTGCTCTGCCTCCCTGTGGCTAGGGCTGGCCAAGGCACAGCCGTCTGGACACTCTCACAACACGAGAATGCTGTGACTGGGGAAGGGCACACAAAGCCCCCTTTATTGGGGAAGTCCTGCCTGTCGGGGGTCCCCATACTGCCCCTTTTGCACAGTTCCAGGGCTCATGGGCTTCCTGGGATGGCCGGGGGCAGCCTGGGTGCCAGGTGGGCAAAGAGCAGGCAGAAAGGGCAGTCCCAGAGGCCAGTTTCCATCGTCCAGCTGGCCACACTCTCACTGAGCCTTCTTGGAGATGGCTGCGGGCCTCCTGCTCAGCAGGGAAGTGTGTGGTGCTGGCGGGGAGGCTGTGCCATACCAGAGCTGGAGTAGAACGAGTCCATGGCAAATATGGAGGGAGAGGGAGCTGCAGACCGTGGAAGGATAGGTGTTCCAGCAGAGCTCGATCACGCCCAGCAGCAGCACCCTGCAGGAAGGAAAGCTGGGCGTCAGCATGGGGGGCGCACAGACACCAACCCCCCTTGCTCCCAGACCCCCCCAGCAGATGGGTGCTCCCCCTCCTTGGCAGCACATACTTGGGCATGTGGGTGAGCTTGGCGGTAGGGGTGCACCAGAGTAAGTAGGGCAGTGTGTGGAAATACCAGACGTAGAACTGGTAGTGCAGGGAGCGGCTGCAGCAGACACCCAGGAAGTTGGAGGAGAAGAGGACAAAGACAATCTGTGCACTGGCGTTAAGGGGACAAACACGGGAGACTGGAGGTACAATCTCGCAACAGGTCCCCAGCCGTACAGCACAGCTCCTTCCCCCAGGACAGGATGGTCCTGATGGCCCAGCAGGATGAGGAGCCTGCGAAGGCTAAGCCCAAACTCTGCCTTACCCTGCCTCCTCCCCACCGCCTTGATGCCCATCCTGTCAAAGGATATTGTTGACAGTCAAGGGAGGGGACGGGTGTTTCCTTTTGGCAGGATCCTTCAGCAGAGCCAGGATGCTCTCTTGGGACCTGAGCGGGAAGCACAAACATTGATCTCAGCTGCTGAAAGTCATTCCCACCTTGACATTCCTCTGTGGCAGCATGCTCCCCCAAATGGAACAGTAACAAAATGGAACAGTACCCCCCCCCCTACTCCTGCCTGCAATCCCAGAACTGCAGCATTGTGGGGGCAGTGGAGTCGTGGATCTGTATCTTGCACCACGGGGGCTGACGGGGACCAGGACCCGTGGGGAACTCAGGGGCTCACCCGTGCCACCGGTGCAGTGCGAAGAGCCCCAGGCCAGTCAGGTGAGCCAGAAGCAGCATGGCATGGAAAGCTCTATTCAGGAAAACCTCTTCTGGAAGGAAGCGCCAGTTCACTGTCCATTTGAACTGGAACTGGCGGCCCAGGTCGAAGGAGCGGGTCAGGTACCCAACAGGGTTCACCAGTAGGAAGGGCAGTCCCAGAACCACCTGCCGGAGACACACCAGCACCCTCACAGCAGCTGTAAGCCAGGTCTCTGTCACCCTTGCCACTTCCCGAGAACACCAGCACCACGCAGGGTGACAGGGACAGTCAGCCAAAGATGGGAGCCCCGTGAATTGGATTATTTATCAACCTCCAGCTTGCCGTGTGGGGCCAACTCAGATGCTGCTGGCACTGTACATCCACTTGGTGGTCTCCAGCCCCAGGCCAGCCAGGCAGGATGCCACGATGCAAAAAAATGCAGCTGGGGCTGCCAGCCTGCCCCTGTAGCCGATGTGAGCAAGGACCCACCTGGAGCAGGGCACAGATGCAGAGCTTGGGGATACAGCCCAGGAGACCAAACCGTTGGAGGAGGAGAAAGAGAAGTCCAGGCGCAAAGAGCAGGATGTTCATCTTCACGGACACAGCCAGGCTGAGCGGGAAGCTGCATTACTGCTGTGGCTCCCCACATGGGTGCCCAGGCAGCCCCCTGGCTGAGCTCCCTGGGGCTGAGCTTGCTCAGACACGCAGCACACGATGGTGAGCAGCCCCCACGCTGACCTAGACCCTCACCTGAAAAGGAGGCAGCCCCAGGACCAGCGCTCCTCCAGGAAGAGGTTGATGGCAAGGAAGAGGATGGCCATAGCAACAGGGTCGTTGAAGAGCCGCAGGACAAAGATGGAGTGGATGCGGTAGGAGGCACAGCACATAAAGAAGAAAACATACGGAGGGACCTTGCAGGGGACAGAGACACGAGGGCAATCAGCAGAGAGACCAC